ACAATTGTTTTTGGCCGAAGACATTTCGATGACTCTGATACCCATAAGGTAGGACCAGAAATTATAGTTGCCGTGACAGTTTTTTCCAACATCTCGAGGCTGTTAGTTTTAGGACCGATCACAGCGAAAAAAATCAGACAGTACTTCAAAGATTCAACACAGACTGCAGCATTAATAGAGTTAAATGAAACTAAGAATTAATTTCAATATTCTCAGCTTACAACAAAGCCCTAATTAAGGTGACACTACAATGTTGAACCAATCTCACTTAATCAGAGAGAGTTTAACAGTACATTTGAAATAGAATGATAAGCAAAGCAGTAATTTTGGTTTAAAAACCCTGTCGTGGTTTCAGTTTTAACTATTTTCACAAATAACTCAAACAACAGGAACTACATGCACTTAATTCTATTTGATGAAGGTGCGAGCGCCTTGCAGGCAGCACGCATGTTAATCAGCTCCAACAAATTTGTCCTTTTCTTAGTCATTTCTTGTCAAATACGCCACCAACATTTATCACAAAATTATTTTAGGCCTGTTGAAGTCTAGTATTGCGAGAAGATGGTTATAACGTACACAAGAGCAGCGTCGAATGCCTTTTCCCGGTACACCGTGGCAAAACCACGCAGCCAAGACCTATGGGGCAAGTTAACAAAGTTACACATATCGCGTTTTCCGCCAACGCGCCGGGGCAAACGAGCAGGAAAATGGAAACAAAGACCCATTCCGGTCATAATCAGTGGAAGCAAAATGAATATCGACTTTCCTAGCTTTGCGCTTTCTCCTATGGTTTCGAACTCCATCAAATCCGAAGAACATGATTTGCATAAACCAACCAAGAACCAATTAAATATTCAAGTTCGCACCTCCACCGTTTGCAAGACCAACAATATCCAAGTTGACTGTTCACAAAAACTCGGAGCCGGGTCAACCCAAAGTGAAACTCCCAGTAAGGTTCCAAACCTTCTGGTCGCAAACGTTATGTCTCTTGTCCCCAAAGTTGATGAAGTACGGGAATTTATTTTCCGCAGAAATATCACTATCGCGTTCATCACGGAAACCTGGTTAAAGGAGACCGTGTCCGATGGAGTCGTCGACATTCCGGATTTCGCTGTGCTGCGTCAAGATAGGAAAAGAGACTCGCACGGAGGTGTGTGTGCATATATAAAAGAGGGGTACTGCAGATATAAACATCTTAAATAACTAAACTACTGTGACGAGGATGAGAGTTTATGGCTTCATTTAACACCCACTCGTCTCCCTCGGGGGTTCTCCTGCATCATTGCTGCAGTAATTTACCATCTACCAAAGTCGGACGACAGATCATTTCGGGAGCACCTGTTTCAATCCCTTACTCTGATGGAATCAAAGTATCCCAACTGTGGTATCCTAGTAACCGGCGATTTCAATCGTTTGGATATCGGTTGCCTGTTGAGGCACTTTCACCTCAAATAAATCGTGAAAGAGCATACCCGGAAGGACGCTACCCTTGATCTTATACTGATGAATATGCATGATCACTACTCCCAACCTTTCGCACCACTTGGGTTGTCCGATCATAATGTCGTGGTGGCGACTCCACTGCACGGGAAACGCATCAACAACACCAAGAAAACCATCACCAAGCGATACCTACGGGCCAGCTCTAAAGCATCAATGGGGAGATTTCTGAACGGCATCGATTGGTCCATATTGTTTTCTCCACTCGAGGGGTGCAAGGAAATGTGGAACGTTTTTTCCAAGGCAGCGTGCACTGGTCTTGACATCTTAATGCCAGAGAAACAATTTCGTATTTGTACAGCCGACGCCCCGTGGATGACTCAGAGAGTGAAAGCCCTTATCCTGAAGAGACAAAAGGCCTTTACTATGCATGGCCCCGAGTCCTCTCAATTCAAGTACCTTAGAAACCTCGTTAACCGGGAGAGGAAAGCGTGTCGAGCCCGCTATTACGAATCAAAGGTTCAACAGCTAAAAGGCAAAAATCCCAAGAAATGGTGGGACGAGGTTAAGCGACTAAGTGGCGCCAAGTCAAGAAAAGGTGACCTAGTGAAGCTAATAAACACCGAGCAATTTTCAAGTCTCTCCGGACCAGACCAAGCAAATGCCATTAACTCTGCGTTTCTCGAGCCTCTTCAAGTTTACAAGTTACACGAGCCACTTGCCCATTCCCCCTGGAGGACACACCCAAATTTTTAACTGTCAGCGAAGAACGTGTCCAGAAGGTCTTGGCGAATCTCAATCAAAGCAAAGCGTCAGGGCCAGATAGCGTACCGAATTGGCTTTTGAAGGAGTATTCGGACATCCTGGCCTTCCCCATCACGCAAATCCTCAATGCATCATACCGTGAGCAGCGGTTGCCCACCATCTGGAAGATGGCCGATGTTCCCCCTCTCCCTAAGAAGAAGCCCGTGCTAGACCTGAAAAAGGACTTAAGGCCGATCTCACTTACACCTTGTGAAACTGAAATAAGCGTGTAAGTCTCCTGGCCTTTAATAACAACACCACAAACCAAATTCGAATGAAGATTTATTGTAGCCGACGTGCTTGGTACTAAGAGTGTGCATACAAACAGCGTGGGTTGAAACTAAAACGGTAAAAAAGCAAACAAGTTACAAGTGGCGACTAAGGTAAATTAGAGTAAGGAAATAACAAAACTGCAAAACGAGGACTGTGAAGTACACTTACATTGTTTCGGCCAGAGAAAACTTCTGTAAAGCGGACTGCGAATAACGCGAAGAGGCTTGCAAGAAACTAAACAGAACTGCGCTAAGCGCGGACCAAAATGAACTGCCCAAACTGTACTGCAAAACTACGATATGAAAAATACGCTAGAACATGCGGAAAATAAAACTATAGAAAGGCGCTAATGAAGATGAAACAGCACGGAAACGCTAACGAGGGCGCGAAAACTGACAGAAAGGGATAAACACCTAAATTAACGCCAAAAAAAAAGACTAAACAAATGGACGAAAAGAAGTATAAACTAATTTGCGTACGCAAAGGAAAAACAAATTACGCAAGAACGAATAATAGAAAAAATGTTACACTTGGATCTTACAGCTTGTGTCTCTAAGGTAGCAGAGGAATTCGTGGTGGAAGATGTCGTTAAACCAGCTGTTCTGGACGTGATTCGTGGAAACCAGTACGGAGTGATCCCAAAGTCATCAACCACCATGGCCCTGATAAACATGCTCCATGCCTAGTCCCTTAGGACGGACGGAAATGGGGCGACAGTGAGAACAATGTTATTTGACTATCGTAAGGCATTCGATTTTATAGACCACAGTATTTTAATTGATAAGCTATGTAAACTAGACATACCCCGCAGTGTTGTAAATTGGATCATAGATTTCCTTTCCGATAGATTCCAACGCATTAAGTTAGCCGAGGGCTGCTTTTCCGAGTGGGGTCCAGTTCCCTCTGGAGCACCACAGGGTACCAAACTTGGCCCGTGGTTATTTGTCTTGATGATCAACGATTTAGATATCAAATCACCACTAATGTGGAGATTTGTTCACGACACAACCGCCTCTGAGGTAATCCAAAAGGGAAATACCAGTAACGCCCGGGGTATAAACGACGAATTAATCGAATGGTCCCGTTAGAACAGGGTAGTGCTAAATCCAGATAAATGCAAAGAGTTGAGAATCTCGTTTTCCCGGAACCCTGAGGCCTTCGATTCGGTGTCCATCGATGATAAGGAAATTGAAGTGGTAAACAGTGCCAAGTTACTAGGTATAACTATAAGCGACAACTTAACTTGGAACGCCCACATTAACGAGTTAGTAAAGAAAACCAACAAAAAACTATACTTTCTTGTACAGCTGAAACGGGCCCGACTACCTCCTTCAGACCTAGTTCTTTTCTATCTTTCGTGTGTTCGATCTACGATAGACTACGGAGTTCCGGTTTTTCACAACGCGCTTCCGCAGTACCTTAAGAACGAGCTCATACATATCGAGAAAAGGGCACTATCGATAATTTTGCCCAGCATGAGCTACAACAAAGCCTGCGAAGTTTTGGGAATAACGCCAATAACCGAACACCATAGTCAGCTATGCACCAAACTGTTTGACGCCATAGTAGCCGATCCCAACCATAAGCTACATGGATTACTGCCACAGAAAAATAATGTTGTTTATAATTTTCGATACAATCGTCCCTTTGTTTTACCTCGCGTTCACACCAATAGGGCATATAATACTTTCATACTCGCAATTTCCCGGCTATTCAACGCATCTTCTCATAATACATAGATTATTTCTTAAATTTTAGTTCAAGGATGAAAATGTTTTACAAATTTAAACATTTTTACCATTATATTTAACATAGATTTATCATACATTATTATTGTCCTTTTAAAAGTTGTAAATTTACTTAATTCAGCCTTCGGCCTGCGATGTGATTTAAATAAACCATCTATCTATCTATCTTAAACATCAACCTATAAACGATAGAATTAGAGTCTTTTTCAGGTTTTTCACCCTTTCACCAGCGAAAAAGTACATACGTCAAGATGAGTCAGTGCAGCATTCAAAGACGTGCCATTTAACTATTCCATGCTCTGACAGCAAGACGCTGTAGCTGCTAGAAAATTCTGAGTTCGATGTTCGATCAATGACGGTGAATCTTCGAATAGGTTTAGTTATTTCTAGTCTAAAACAATGAGATTTTTGGGAGACCAAGAAATGTGGCTTTCGAGGGACCTCACGATGCTGTTTCTGTTGCATAAAAGCCAAGGGGCAATTAATCACAATTCATTCATTGTCAGGTAAGCATTTTTTTTTAAATATTCCTCAACTTTGATCATTGAAGCTAAGGTCACTTATATTTTAAAAGAAAACGTCTTAAATATGCTTGTATTCTAAAGTCTAAGAAATTAAAGGAAATGAGAATATCTGCATATTCCTTAAGTAGTGTAAATACGTAGTTGCGGTACATTAAGGGCTTTTTGACGACCATTTGCCTAGATTGTTTTTTTTTAGCAATAAGACGCTTCTAGGGTGAAAGAAACGTGGTTTATGGAATTGAGAAACAAAGTGTAGTTTTATTGCACCAATATGTACCCCATGGCTTTGATACTCTTCTGTTCGTTATCTGAATCATAAACGTCTGCCTCATTTCCGCAAGATTTTGCATCGTTAGGGTGACTTCCTGTACCAAATCCAATCAAAGAGTTGCATGAATCACAGTCGTCCTGCTCATTGCTAACAATACCAATTCTAACTTTAGAACGATCACTTCGACCGCTAATGGCATTGAATCCTTCCTTGTTGCAGTTTTTCTGTAATGAGGCCTGGCTGCCAATCAACTCTTTCCACCCGTCACGACCCAGTAAGGTGTGCCGGTATTGCTCATCAGCGATCAGTGAGTACAGAGAGTCAGCTTCCTGTTTGATGACGATGAACCTGAGCTGTTCGTCGATCTTCATTCCGAGACATATTTTGGAGAAGGAGGTGTTCCAGTAGATGGGTAGCTTTGTTTCCCGTTCGTCAAACCCAGTCTCTCCACCGGGGAGGTTGTATTCATCGTAATTGCTCCAATACTGCGAGTCATAATGGAATGTGGTCTGAAATATAGTAGCATTTTAGTTTTGTGTTTTCTCCGAATTGATGGATAGTTACTTTCTACGTCTTGTTGTGTATCTGCATATAACTAGCTGTTACATGATACTTGAGTAAAATATGGTATGATATATTTATACATTCTTTCTAGTTTTTTCTTTTTCAAAAGTCATTATAAACATCAAAAGTTTTGAAATTTACGTTGAACAAAATCTGTTCTTCGTGCATTACCTTCTCAATGAAAAACAAAAGGCGTACATATGTGACATGCACGTTTGTATTTCGCAACGTTTTGAAAGAGAACGGGTTTATATACGAAATAAATTGTTTAACAAAAGTATTCACCTTTGTGCCGTCAATCTTCATAACTGGCGTCCATCCTCCATCTCCGCACCCAAAATTTCCCATGTGGCAAAAAACGGACAACGGTTGGGAGTCAACAAGAAAGGTAACCACACTACTCACACTGGATCTTTTGAATCAAAATAAAACAACGAAAACTACTAATGAAATAGACAATGATGGCGAAATAAAAATAATTATCATAACTATGATGAAAATGGCAAGGATGCTGAGTGATAATGATAATTATCCAACAAATAAGCAAATGAAAAGTTTATCCCTCAGTAAAATACGTCAATAACTCCGTAATATTAAGAGCAGCCGTCATTGCAACAATGCTCAGTTATTTGTCCTTGAAGAAAACAGGTGTCCGAGGGAAAAGGGTATTTTTCACTTCTTCTTTGAGGACAGTAATAAACTCCACCAAAATGAGTCAAGGTTTAAAGGAAGGCTTTCTTTGCATATAGAATACGGTTTAAACATTTTTGTATGCTCGGTGACGTGTTGGGATTAAACTAACTGTGGGCAAGCGAACTATTTGATGTCCTATGAAAATAATATCGAATATCAGTTCTACTTACATTTCATGAATTTCTTTACACGAGGTAGCTTCTGAAAAAAATTAGATTAGAGGGAATTTTAAATTTGTTTTAGCTATATTTTAATCCATCATTGGGGAACAATACCGACTGCAGTCTGACTGACTGACCGAAGAATTTTATCATGTTCCAAGCTCTGCTTTTTAGCTGAAAACAGTTCTCAATTTTCTTTCACTTTGTTTGGCAGCATGTATGTTTTCTTCGAATACATCATTGATAAAAACTGGCGTCGGGGGAGCATCGATTGTTGTTATCTATAAAGCCAATAAACAGAGAGGCTAAGAAATTAGGTGGAATTTGAACTCGAAATAATAACCGTAATATCCGCTGCGGATATTATGTTTTCATATCAACTGTACACGCTATTGTATATTGATTAAAGCTCTAGTAAGATTGTTGCTTTGTAACACCTATTAATTTTGAACCAGTGTATAGGGGATGCAATAGAAGAGCAGTGCTATCGTTAATGTACCAAAATTCCTATTTGACTTTTCCTTAGCCGACTTTCCTCTATATTTCGACCCCAACGTTTACCTTTACATTTTCGTCCATTTCCAATGAGTCCATGTTTACATGTACAGCTGTATGACCCTTTGGTGTTATTGCAAAATGCGTGATGACTGCAGGTGTGTAACGTGCCAAGACACTCGTTGATATCTCCAAAATAAAAAGATAAAAATAGTTTAAAAAATAGCAGCAGATATCATTGCAAGATATTTAGTGGTTTATACTGTACTGTTTGGTTTTTTAGTCAGAAGAAATAGTTTTTAGGTTTCCCATTTTTATGTCCGTGGCTGTAGCGATAATGAACTGGCATTTCACACTTTTTGTTAGAAAGTTCGAAATTAGAAAATCCGCCTCCTTTGCTTAATATTCCCAAAATAGACGCTCACCCTTGCATTTTCCTCCACTCCCAGTGAATCCAGGTTTACATGTACAGTTGTAAGACCCTTTGGTGTTGTTGCAATAGGCATCAGGGCTGCATGAGTGTGACCCTTCGACACACTCATCGATGTCTATAGATATAAAGCCGAAAAACAGTTGACGAAAACATATAAAAGATTTAAAAGGTCAGCAACATTACTTGATAAAAAAATCTAGAAGCACCAAAAACTGCAAAAAAAAAAAACAATAAATGGGAAGGCCTCCTCTACACACTGTTCTTAATATGGTATACGTAGTTTTTGGTTTGATAGAAAGTTCGAAATTAGAAAATCCGCCTCCTTTGCTCAATATTCTCAAAAGTGACGCTCACCCTCGCAGTCTCTTCCACTCCAAGTGAATCCAGGTTTACATGTACAGTTGTAAGACCCTTTGGTGTTGTTGCAATAGGCATCAGGGCTACATGAGTGTGACCTTCCGACACACTCATCGATGTCTATAGATATAAAGCCGAAAAAAAGTTGACGAAAACATATAAAAGATTTAAAAGGTCAGCAACATTACTTGATATTTGTATTTGATTTGGACAGCATTAATATTTGTTGTTGAGAACATCAAATAGGTTTCTGTAGCCATACAAAGGATGAATGAACCTAAGAAACAATTATGAGTACATTGATTCCAATCGATGCAAAAACACTTTGGTGATCAAGAATAAAATTTTTCAATGTGCTCTCGTCCATATATATCTCCTCCGGCGTTCAGTTTCACTATACATTTTCTTACTAGGAGGATCGAGATGTAAGTTACCATCCCCTTGTGGATAATTTGCAAATGTAAGCTTTATTTTTTTCACCACATAGTTGTTAATAGATCTAACAACTACCTTTACATTCTCGTCCATTTCCCGTGAATCCATGTTTGCATGTGCAATTGTATGAACCTTTGGTATTGTTGCAAAACGCACCAGAGCTGCATTTGTGTAGCCCGCGAACACATTCGTTGATGTCTGAACAAAAAATACACACAAATAAATAAAAACAAAATAATCGTATCAAAAAAAAACAAAACAAAACAAAACAAATAGAAGCACCAACAACTGTAAAAACAACGATAATTGGGTAGGCCTCCTTCACATCCTGTTCCTAACAAGGTAAACGTACTTTTTGTTTTCTCATGACCACTACACATTATTTTTGCTTTATGCAGACTGAAAAAAATGTATTCAAAATGAATCGATCGACCTTGTAAGTCACAAGCCGTACTGATGAGCCGCGAAGAAGTCATATATTCCCTCTTTTTCAATCCGGAAAGTTCTACTTTTGCTTGTGGTTCATGTACTTTACTATTGTTTCTTTCCACTTTCAGTGCAGCTCTGAAGAAGACATATGAAGACGAATAAGGAGAAAGGAGAAGACGAAATGAAATGACAAAAAAAAAAACAAAATTCGTCATTGAGCTGTGTTGGTGAAGAAACTGCGACAAAAGCCTGTTGTCCTTTGGTTCTTACTGACTAGTAAGAGAGCTTTAAGTTACACGAGGATAGCAGAAGCTCTTTTATTCTTCATGACCCAATTACCAAGCAACGCGGTAAAGTTTTTCCGTGTTGTTAAAGTGCTGAAGGCCTCAAGATATCAACATTGAAGTTGTGGTTACCTCTTTCGCAAATCGGACCTTCAAATCCAGCGGTACAAAGACACCGATAACCTTTCTTAGTAAATCCGCTCTGACAAGTAGCATTGTTCTTACAAGGATTTTGTACACAATTGCTCTGACGGAAAAAAAAACAAACTGTTGTCATTGTCATTATCATTATCATCATTATAATCATTTTCAACATCCAATAACAAACTGCACCGCTACCATCATCAACATCGCCATCGTTATCCTTGTCATCATAGTTGTCCTTCCATCTCTATTTCTCCATTAACTTTGAAATGCTTTGTCTTTGAAGAAGTTTAAGTGAAGAGCACAGACACAATATAACCACTAATGTCTTGAAAGAGTGAAAACAACTCAAGTTCGTAGTTAAGGTGAACATGAGACTAAGAGTTTTGAAAAGAAAAACAAAATAAGCCAATGTGAATCTTGAATTGAAACTTATATTTACCTCAGCTGCGTGATAAGAATACATCTCTTCTTCTATCAACTTTCCTTCGTGTCCTTCATGAGTAGCATTGTTCAGTTCACATTTATAGTTTCCATTTCCATCTCCCCGTGTATAAAGATTAATGCTGACGCAGTCGGGCTCCATATAACACAAGTTTTCACAGAACCTGGAAACTGTTATTTCCACGGTGCGAATTGTGTGGTTTACGAGGCGTTTCCCTTCAAATGCTTTCTCAGGCCCAAACTCCAAATTGCGACACTGGTCTGCGATGCAGACTTCTTTGAAATGGAAATAATAAATACATTAAACGTAACATTATTGCTTTTGATGATATGTAAAGAATTATGGAAAATGTGGTAAGTGACATTTCATTTTCAATTGTATTAGACTTGATTTTTTTTCTTCATCTTTTTTATTTCTATCTTGTAGAAAGTGTTTCAAAGGAAAAAAGATATACAAACCCTCGACAGTGTCTCGGGTTTGCATAACTTTCTCCCAAGTCTCCCAAATTTTAACATTTCTTCATTAAATATACGTGGATAAAGCTAATTCTCTGACCTAATGAAGAATTCTTCAAATTTGAATATAAAGTTTCCCAAAATGTAACGATAACTCAAACCAAAGGTAAACATGAATTGGATATGGGTCATACTGAAATGAACCTTGTGACCTGACAGTCTTAGGTATCATAAAGCAGAGCTCCAATAAAAGAAGGGAGACAGAAACAGAATACATGATACGGAGCACGATTAGAAAAGTTCTGGCCATTTAAACGTTTGCCTGAAACAGTAGAAATTAGGCTGTCGCCGGTTAAACCATTGGGTGTCAAACTGTTTCGTACGTCAACTGTTCTGTGTTACGTTATACTCGTACAAATGTTTGTTTAGAATGCTGCTCAGTTCAGCAATAATTTGCCCGTCAATTGCCATAAAAAAAGTGTCACCTTATTCTGCGAAGTGACATGCTATCATAAAAAAAGCTGATAAATAACAGTTGTAGTTATGCAGCCGTGTTACAAGATAGGCAATTCACTTCCACGAAACTTTTCATATCTAAACTGTCCTAGGTAAAAGGTAAATGGAATTTCCTTAATGATACGCACGCTGATATTCAAACCGTTTGTGCTGAATTAAGATAAATTGGACATGAAAGAATTGTTTTAAATGAGGTGGTCTCCAAAAAAAATTTACGAAGCTACAGGTCACCGGACTTTCCTACAATTTTGCATTCAAAACAAAATCGAGCAGACGTTTAGACCGGAAAAGCTCGCAAAATTTCCGTATCATAATATTATTGACTAAATTGGTTCTTCGTTGAAAATCCGCGCGTTAAAGAAATGCAGATATGTAAAGCTAGTTCGTGGAAATGAAGAATTTATTTGATGACTTACTAATTTTTCACTTCTACACATGCACAACAGCTGGCATTTTCAATCTTTGTTAAATTATCATACAAACATTGTTTACTTTGTTACTGGTAAGAACTTCTGTGTGTCAATATATTCATTCTCCATAATTTTCAGCTATTGCTTAACAAATAGAGAAGCCTTGACTGCGCTCTGTTCTATTATTAAGCACTCAGGAAGCGGCTAGAGCATGGAAAAAGTGTAAGGAGAAACACTTGACTACGTCTCGTGTTTCTTCCTACTTTAAAACAGAACAGAGAACAGTCAAGGCTTCTCTATTTATTTTATGGTAAAGAATCTGTTAAATTCCCCACGCATTACAATCAGTCAAAACAAAGTTTATGTCAAAAGCGAACAACAGCGTCGTCAGCATGTTCTCTAATCTCACTAAGCACGCTACAATAAGCCAATCAGAATCCTTTGGTTAGCCGCAAATTAATGCAGCCGTTGGGCGTAGAACTGACAGATGTTTACCGTCAGTCGTAAACAAAGTTAACTGTAAAAGTTCAGTGTTTTAGACTTGGCGGAAAGAAATTAAATGGTAGCCTTAATAAAGCCAAAATTTTTACCGTTATAAAAGCCATCACCCCACTGAGACCTACTAGTAAACAAAGTTATACGTTATTGCGGAAATGAAAAAAAATCTTATAATATTAAAATTATAGTTATAATATGAAGATCAAACGGAAATTGGAAAACATTATCGATGATTTACGTGAGGAGCTGTGGTGGTCATCCGTTAAGAGTGGGAACTCCAGGCATATAAGACTGGAGTCAATTTCCAGTTCTAACTCTTACATGTACAGCATCTCCACCCACCCGTGCGTCGAACTATTTGATATGCTGCTGAACGTGTTTTGGCCGGCTTGTTATAAATGTAAACAATAATATCTTAAACGACTTTGAATACATGAAAATCATTTTTGTATAGTTACCGCAAAGGGAAGCTATTCCTCGTGTTGCCACATGCGCCTATTTTAGTAAATTAAATATAGAACCAGGCACAAATTTAACTAGCTTCTTCACTATCTTTTGATGCAATCGAGACCAACTTGATTTGCTCAACTATATTGGACGTTCAACGTCTATGCTACTGCACGAAAAATATTGATGCAATTTCGAGGAAAACAGCTCTGAACAAGCGGCTGCTTTAATTTTGGCATGGACCTACCCGCTCTGTTTGTTAACCAGCATCGCTATGTTCGAAGGTAAACAAGAAATTGAATGCTTTTAAAGACCGTTTAGGTATTTGCATATTGAGAGGCGATTTTTTTTCAGCTTTTGCGGGCTGCCTATTTCAATCAGTAAACATGGTATTCTAAGTAACTTTTAATCTGAGGCATATGGCATACGGCATATGGAAAAACTTTGGGCGTGCTTTTGGTTTTCGTTTCTACTTGTAGAAAGGCCCGCCTCATCTAGAACGGAAGGGATCTAGAAGTATTATGGAAACAAGGAAAAAATCTAAGAAAAACTTGAATAAAACAAAGGATGTGATAAAACATTTACCTGGAGAACATGTAGCTGCTGTGAAAATAGAAGGCAAGAGAACGGAAATGAGAAAGCGCTTGAAATCAACAGACATGATGGATAGTGTGAAGTTTAGCTTTGCTTGCGCTTTAAGTTTCCCATTTAAGTCGCTCTCAAGTTGTATGTGCTGCAGCAACTCGAATCTGTTTTCACTTAACAAAAAGACTTTGCGCAATTTGGTGGTACAATAGACTAACATCTACCAACTGTCTGAGAGAACTCGGGTTTCATTGGCTCTAAATTAGGTTCTGGCCAATTGTAGCGGCCTGTTAAAGAGATGGTTTCTTCGTTTTCGTTAACTTAATCATGAAGGGGCTGAAAAAAAAAAAAAAGAACAGAACCTTGGCGATGTGTTTTTCTAATTAAATTGCAGAGGCTTTCTCCCTCGAAAAATTTGAAAATTCAAATGCGTTCTAATGATTTCCATCTGATATTCATTATGGTGGGTAGATGAAATTGATGCATGGTGCAACAACGTCCTAATTTGATGATGTTACAAATCCGCGTTTTATTCGACAAAAGTACTCTCAAACGCTTTTTAACGCTTGGCAAGGAGCTGTGAGGTAAATTAAAAGATAAAATTTTCCTAAGGCTTAAATTTACCGCTCAGATACTTGAAAAGAATATTTAATTATAGGAAAATCCCTTAACTCATCTTGAAAAGAATGTTTAATTACAGGAAAAATCCCTTAACTCATTATCTTTATCTTTTCATGAATTCAGTTTTCATTCGCTTTCTGACTCATCAACCTGTATTGGTTCAAGTCCAACGTTGGTATGTAATTGCGGTATACACTCTTTCCCCGAGTAAGCACCCGGCGCTTATTTAAAATTCATTTATATATTGGCAATATAAGCAGGTGTTTTTTGCATCCCTACTAATTTGTTTGAGAAATTGTAGCAGCTTGTTAAAGGGAAGGTTTCTTCTTCCTCGTTAACTTTATGATAAAGGGACTGAAAAAGAACACAGAATAAAACCTTGGCGATATGGGTTTCTAATTAAATTGCAGAGGCTTCCTCCCAATAGTTTGGGTCAAATATTTTCATTTATATTTGCATGCTTGTATTTCTTGTAACTCAATAACTCAAAATCTGTTTTCACTCAACAACAAAACGTTGCGCAATTTGGTGGTACAATGGACTTTCAGCTTCGAACTGTCTGAGAGAACTCGGGGTTCATTGGCTCTAAATTAGATATAGTTTCTTCTTTTTCGTTAACTTAATCATAAAGCGACTAAAATGAAAACAGAATAAAACCTTGGCGATATAGGTTTCGAATTAAATTGTAGAGGCTTTCTCCTTTGTAAAAATTTGAAAATTCAAATGCGTTCTAATGACTGCCATCTGATATTCATTATGGTGGGTAGATGAAACTGTTGTATGGTGCGTGATGTGCTAACTTGATGATGGTACAAATCCGCGTTTTAGTCGACTAAAGTACTCTCAAACGCTTTTTAACGCTTGGCAAGGAGCTGTGAGGTAAATTAAAAGATAAAATTTTCCTAAGGCTTAAATTTGCCGTTCAGATACTTGAAAAGAATATTTAATTATAGGAAAATCCCTTAACTCGTCATCTTCATCTTTTCATGAATTCAGTTTTCAATGTACTTTCTTACTTATCAACCTGTATTGGTGCAATTCCAACGTTGGAACGTAATTGCGGTATACACTATTTCCTCGAATAAGTGCCCGTGCGTTATTTAAAATTTATTAATATACTGGCAATGCAAGCAGGTTTCTCTTTGCATAATTTGAGCGTGGGTGGTTATTAAAGGAAATAAAGTATTTGTTTCGCTAACAACCATGCTTGTCTCCAAAGATTAGGACAGAAAAATAGTTGTAGGGTAAGCAGCCATTAAGAACACACTACAGATCTGATATCATTCTAGCTTTTACCCTAAATCTTTGATGTCTTGACAGTGTGAAGAATACCCTTTTCTTCCTTATAGTCTCTCGTCACACAAAAAAACAAACAAAAAAAAAACAAACAAACAAATAAAACAAAAAAAAAGAGGAAGACGCAGATATGCCTTAACTAACAACAATATCTAAACAGCGCATTTTAACAATTTTATTGTTCGAACGAGTGTCTTCTCTGTCAGCTGTATATTTGAACATATCAAATTTGCAACTTTTGCCAATTTTAACACCTTATCCTTATCAGAAATAAGCTTGGTAATTAAAGTCTCTCTCGGGAGTAGTTGTCTGTATTTTTTTGAGAGGAAAAAAAAAGCCAACGATGAAACAAAAAGAAAATAATCAAAAAGAAAAGAAAGAAAAGGAATCAATTCGTCCACGGTGGTCGTGATCTAAGAAAGACCTCTACGCGATGTGAATCGAAAGCGCACGTTAAAGAAGTTTACATTCAATACTGAACAGCGCGGGACCCTTCTGGCTATGCTATAGGTTACGAACTCCATGTTAAAATGCATTTTTCTATGGGAGTTTTGTCTCATATACACAGCGTTTGGATCACAAGGTAAGTTTTAGTATAACTCTTCGTAGGTTCCACGAATCACTATTGATAAGTCGACACTTTATTTTGAGTCGTTACTAACCCATAAAGATAACATTGTCATAATTTGAAATTTGTTACATGTTTGAAAAGTTCGTTCGGATCTCAATCCGGAATCATCAGCGAGTTGTCGAATTAATTTGGCTCCTTTTTTATCGCTGTTGTCTTGTTTTCTTTGGTTTTCTTCCGATGAAATTTATTTAAAATGATATTCACTGGTATAAAAAGCAACGATGTAAATCCACGTTGACATCGTCTTCTGATGGATAGTCGCGTTTGGCATTTTCACGGCCAATGAAAGGCCCTAGCAGTATATCAAAGGGACCGCAAAACAGAATAAGTAAGTCTCTTGAGAAAACGAGAGAGACCTTGAATTGACCAAGTTTTTTGATGTTTTTTCACAATTGCTTCAAGTTTTGAATAATTGGTGTCTGAACGCCAAGATGTCTGACTATAGGCTGTGTATTTTAGAAACAAGGCGAAAAAAGGAAGTGGCAGAAAATTAACGCTTAAGTCGAATAAAAAATGAAGGAACGCTCTGATATGCAAAAATTTTTTAGTAAATCTATCGTCCTCAATGTAGAGCCTTTCACAGAATACTAGGTGAAAATTAAGGGAATAATTTTTCTTTCAGAATTAGTTCATCTCTAGAGAAAAAAAATTAGTATAGGTCTTGGTTTCAGATAAAAATGGACTAAAATTCTAGTATTATTACAAGTACTTCAAGTACATAATTACTTGAATAATGGCGTCTAAACGCCAGTATGCCTGACCCTACGCTGTTTATCTTTAGAATTAAGGCTGAGAAAATGAAGTGATGAAAAACCTACGCCTTGTTATAATTAGAAGTGATATATGTCCGCTTTGATGATAAACTTTCCTGTAAATTTATCGCCTCTAATGTGGAGTCTTTTACAAATTATTTGGTGAAAATTAAGGAGAGTGAATGTTCGAAACAAGCAGTTTTTAGCACCAAACTTTGCTATGTTAGATGGTAATTAAAAAAAATTTCATTCACCCAGGTGTTTTGCAGATGTTTCAGCCGCAAGTTTTGAGTTTCTCAACCCCTTTTTACAAGCAATAACAATAAGTTTGGATTCCTTTTATTATACATATATCTTATCAGAAATTTTTGTGCGTAGTATCGGTTTATGTTTTTACAAGGTGTGCCGTATTTTGAAGAGCCCTATGGGCACTTCAGTTTCCATGTCGTTGTCATGTCAAATTTTTACACAGGTTCATTCCTTGCAGTTTACTGTCGACTTAGTTGATATAAATATATATATATATATATTTTTTTTTTTGGCTTAATAGAACATTAAGAGATCTTTTTTGTAATACCGATTGCAGCATTTTCGTTTACGTGTTCCCTTTGTAAAGTTTTAATGATTCAATAAAATTAACGTCTAATTCAAGGTTTGAATTTAATATAGGGCCACACCCAAATACTCGACCTCGTGTGGTAACATATGAGATGTTTACTGAGAGCCTAAGGGGACATTTTGAAACAATGAGGCAAAGCTATTGGCAAGCTCATCATTTCGATCCAGAGAATTCACCTCATTTTGAGCCCGTGAATCTTCTCAGATTCTCCTTCAAGACATCTCATTGCAATAAGATTGTCGTAGGTAAATTAGAAACGAGGGCAAAAAGTATTCGCAGATTTTAATGCTCTTCGATACTGTCCTGTTTTGAGTCATATTATGCTTAATATACGATTGTGTCTGGTTTTAATGAATATTTTCACAGCGCTGTGAAAAATTTTTCACCAAATTGTGCATCTGTATGTAATTTTCACTTAGCATTTTTTTTTAATAGAAGTCCTATTTTAAAGTCTTTCTTGCCTGTTAACATGGACGTGACGGAGAAGTAACCGACCAATTCGGAGAAACCCGGTCGTCCAGGTAAGCTCTTACTTTATCTTGATCATGTTTACATAGTAGATGAGGTAGTCTGCCTAGGCAGGCTGCCCGGTCTGCCAGGTGCAGGTCTGCCAGGTACGATAACCCTTTAAGCTGGGGTCGTAATTTGCCATGCAAACCGCTCAAGGTGGGATAACCCACCAAGCTGGGGTCGCGTCAATATTACATTTGCAAACGCTCCAACAACCTCTAGAAACTTCACCCCGGGATCCTGCGGTGGTAAGTTTATATGTAATTGCGGGCTATTTTCGACCACAGCTAATTGAGTTACCTTAACTACCTGCAGTAGCCAATCTCCATGTAAACATGTCTTAATTCATTTAAATTAAGGAGGATCCATGCAAACTTTGAGCATGAGTAGTCGGCTCTCAAGGTTTCTTAAGTCTATCATAAACAACCTTTTGACCTCCAAAGGCTCTAAGCAAGAACGGTACTATTTTACCGTTAATCGCTAATTGTCATAGTGAGCGATTAGAAAGGATTCTGAGAGTATAATGATAAAAAAAAAAAAAAAAAAAAAAAAAAACCAAAAGCTGAACTGATTGAACTAACAACTTGTATCGTGATGAATATCATTTGACCTACAGATTAAAATAAATAAAGAGAAATGAAACTCAC